TTAAGAGGTTGTTTTTAGTATATATCATAATACCACCACCGTGTTGTGATTGTCTGTCTCTACGATATGAGTTGGGATGTGAGTTAATTTGCAAATCAGATTCAGTTATTTCATTATTCAGGTGAGTTTCAGTAAGACATAGGATGTCATAGTCAGTGAATTCAGTATCTATAAGATCAACCTTGTTCCGAAGAGACCTAACATTTAAGTGCATTATTGATAAATCATTATAGTAGTTTCTTTGATTAATACTGATTGATGAGCGACCTGGATTAGAGTGAATATTTCCAGACATCAGAAGTAGAAGTTTTATAACAAACAGAATGTATAAAATATCTTGAGTATACATGTAGTGATAAAATGAAATATGTCATACTGTTTACTTATTTTAATTTTAAAGAAGAAAAAATACCGCCATGGAGTTTATATTAAATGAAACCTTGCGTTCCGGATATTAATATAGCCGTTTTCCAATTCAGGCATTAGATATTCCTAAATCTCATTTTTTCCTAACTATATCATGTTGTTATTTTTATTGTAATTTCCATTCAAAAAGGAAAATAAATATGTATGTTTGACAGTTGTTACATATTTGAAGAGGATGTATGGAATCCGAGGAAAATTTCCTCTTTAATTACAGCCAATCAAATTGTTCGACACGAAATTCAAACACGGAACTTCGGGAAATTGCACTCGCCGTCCCGGTCCGCAGCCATATCCCCACCTCGACTGTAAACAATGGAAGCTGCCCGTTTCTTGTTTTAACCAAGGTCTAAGAAAATCGACATTGACTATTGAGTTGATAAAGTAAGGATCACAGTTACGTGCAACTGAAGATAACCGGATAAATCTATGCTTGGACTGTGTTAAAATCGCTCAGAAACTGATTGCAATGTAACTGAACGAAATGAAACCCCTACAGTACAGTACATGAGTACATGGTCATGTTACAGCACCAAGACGATCTATAAGTCAATTTACTGAAACGTCAATGGTTATATATACCACGGACTTAGATAATCTAATTCCGTGTATATACCTTGATATATACTTTATTAGTTAACTTGCTATCATCGCTGTTGTAAGCATCTGGACGGTCCGGTGTACCTTGGACCGAAATATTGCACCCCCATTTCCTCCGGAACACACGCGAATTGAATCAAAATGAAGGTTTTGAGTAACACAATTTCATAACTGATTTGTTTGTTTATTATATTTGTAGTATGTGCCTGCTTTGTCTTGTGTTTATTTTACATGAGCATTCATTGATATCGAGTTAAGACGGCCAAGATTTACTTTTTGCTTTTTTTTTATATGTATTAAAAACTGCCTCCTGCAGATCTGGCTTCACGCTAAATTGTCTCTTAACTCAATTAACAGAGTAGTTGACTGGGAAGCTGGGGTCCTGGGTTCGATCCCGATTGGAAGCACATTATTGTCATTCCTGTAACATATTAGTGTTGGATGCAGTCTTTCGGCCTCTTTATCTAGGGTGAGGGTACCCAAAATGGAACCCTTTTGATGTATAGGACGAGGAATAGTGATAAAGATAGTGTCGTCGCTCGGGCTTTATAACCTGTGACCCTTTGCTCTCCACCCTGATGTTCTACCGCTGAGCTAAAGGGAAATTTCCTACATCTGACGCTTGTAAGGCAACCTAATTAATGCACATCTTTTACACTATTCCCTCCTTTTTCAAACACCAACCAAGATTCTTTGATTCCCCACCAAGGGTTCTCCTACCTTGAACGGGGAGGGTCAACGGCACCAGTTGTAGTAGAACGAGGAACAGTGATAAAGATCAATCTGTCGCTGGGACTTGAACCCACGACCCTTAATTGGCTCGCTAAAGGGAATATCCCTTACAGCTGACGCTTCAAATGCAACCTAAATTAATCAATGCACATCTTTAACATATATATGATGCAGCATTTTTTATTTTGCAATAAAAATGAATGGTACGTATTCTCAATCAAAATTTATAGAGTTTTATGCATTTTGCATTTTTTAAGCATTTTGAGCAAATATCATCTGCCTACCTCATCTACATTGCTGTTGATACCCAAGAAATACATGAGATGAAGGCTAAAGGCATGTATTGTTTTCATTACAGTAAAAATATCATTCTTTCAGAAACTTTATAGGAAATATTTTATTTTTTTCTGTGAAAGTGTTCGATTTCGGGTACCCTCACCCTATACCCTATATCAAACATAACAATCACAGCTTCATGATTAATGACTATGATAGTATTATTCAATTATAGCCTTTGGCTGAGGTCGATACCTGGATTTATCGACCCGAGAAAAGATATATTGACCGAGGATGCAGTCCGAGGTCAATATTTCTTTTCTCGGGTCGATAAATCCAGGTATTGACCGAAGTTACAAATCAGTATTGTAAGCAATCTGAAAAAAAACCACAACAAAAAAGCTTCGGAAGTGGGACGGTGCATTGTTGGCGACACGTCATAATTCTATTTTTAGAAACATTCAGTCCTTCAACAAAAAACATGCACTTCAAGTCAATATCGCTTTTTATCGGTGGACACATGATGCACTCCTGGCCAATCACTTGTTGGGAATAATATGAAAAAATAATAAACCTATATATCTGATTTTTCTCTGATTCGCCAGTGTAATACTCATTTTGACCATTATCAGAATATTCTTCAATTTAAATGATTAATGATTTTTTTTATTTTTTTCTATATCTTTTTGTTATTCTGAAATTCCTTTCATTAAAAAATTGAATTACATTGTTATTAATATTAACAGAGACGTATATTACGTAATATACGTCTCTGATATTAATTACTAAGACCAATTTTACTTTATTGACAGTGTTTGTTATATTTCTTTGCAAAGAGTGGTGTGTGTGTGTGTGTGGTTTCACATAAAATAGTATTTTGATCTATTGTTAGCAAACTTTGCCTTCATATTCCAGGTGACTAATAACCTGATCGTGCAGTACTTAAATACGCTGTCTGTAAAAGATGGCTACTGAGCCTGGGCGTGTGCTGAAACCTGTGAACAGTTTTAGCAGTACAGATCTCACATCACCTGTCAAACCTGGAACAGTCACCTTACAGGCCAAAGAGAATACTTCCACACAACCAGAAGGGTAACGGCAAATCCTGTCAAATACTATTTTATTATAGAAATGAAAATCTGAAATGATCAAAAAAATTGTTGCCAAATTTCGTTCTTTTTACCTACAGACATCGTTTATTTTAATTTTTATAATTTTTTCAGGAAGAAGTGGTCCTTGCAGGATTTTGATATTGGAAGGCCTCTAGGTAAAGGAAAGTTCGGAAATGTCTATCTGGCAAGAGAGAAGTCGACCAAATATATAGTTGCAATAAAGGTAAGATGATATGTTGTTTAAGATACAAGTTTATGGACCCCTGAAAAAACGGCGGACTCACAACAGTGTTTTTCCATATTATTATTCATACAGCTCTCAGATTACTGGTGTTTACTAGAAGCACATATGCCCATTATCATGACGTGATATGCATATTAAAACCTGCTTAAATCCAGAGAGAAAAAAACCTCAAAAACAGTGTACCCAAAAGCATTTATCATACACTTGTCTTGAAGGAAAAGAATATGCTCATAATCTGATAGTCCATACACCGGGGCTTCAATATCGGACGATTAACTTGAAATTTGCTAAAAAAAAACTGCAGTCTGCAAAGTGTAAGCTCAACGTTGGAACAATTTTTTGGGGGGTTACAAAAAAAACATTTATAACTTCTAGCACGATTCTTCAACTAAAACCTAGTGCAGAAGTCTACTAAATTCTTGATAATAATTGCACGGATGACCTTGCAAACTTAGCATTATACTTGTATGTGTGATATAAAATAAAGGGAAGTCAAAGAGATACCTTTGGGAGTTTTCACTGTTCCCTCTCCTTGACAGTCCAGGGGTTACGCTCACTTTACCTCTCTGCACCCATAGAATATGTCATAGCAAAATTGGAGGTACAAAGACAGCTGTTTGATTGGTCTCAGACTCTCGGGTATTAAATAAAACCTGACCAACTGCTAGGCTGATACCTATTCTTTGAAGATGACAAAGGGGCGACACCTGACTTCAAAGTCAGTAAATTTTTACCGTTACTGCAACTGTGAGATTCTTTTGATTTACATCAAAGGATCGAACTAGTCTTCTTGTCTCATCAACAAAGAGACGCATGTTGAGTCTTCAATTTTGCTATGACATATTCCAGCGGTGCAGAGAGCAGAAGTGAGCGTAACCCCTGGACTATCGGGGATGACTGTTTCCATGATTTTTGATAGGTTTAAACTTTTAAACTGAATTTCAACCCTGATTTATTATTCCAATGCAGGTAAAATACCCTGATTTATTATTCCAATGCAGGTTATATGCAAGTGTATTGTTCTCCTTCCAGGTTCTGTTCAAGTCACAGTTACAGAAATCTGGTGTTGAGCATCAACTTCGTCGTGAGATAGAAATACAGTCACATCTCAGGTAAGCAGAAAGCAGATATGATATACTAAAGGGAGATGTCGAGTATAATCTACATAATGATGCACAGTTCATGATATTGGCTGGTTGAAATAATTTTGAATAACTTTAAAATTGAAAATTTTAATTGAATATATGAAAAGTTGTGCTGTGGTAATTCCAGATGATAGACTTTGCAACTAAGTTCAAGATAATGGTGCTGTGGTTTAAACACAACTGTATTCAAAATTGAAAAAGATACTATTGGTACAAATACTTGAGCATTATCTCATAATATTTCATTTGCAAAGTCATTTGATATGGAATATTCTATTTCAAATATTGCAGCCATCCCCATATCCTGCGTTTGTTTCAATATTTCCATGACAAAACACGAGTTTTTCTTGTTCTGGAGTATGCACCAAAGGGCGAACTGTACAAGGAGCTGATGAAGATTACAAGATTTGATGAGAAGCGAACGGCTACGGTAAGTTCTGTCAATAAAATGTTGTTTTCTTAGTACAATATTAAGAGCTATATTTTCCAATCAAAAACTGTTCATATCTCACTATTACATCATTAACTTTAAGGATATGACTGTGTGGCTTCCGATTTTAGTTTATTACCAGTGGTAACCATATAGACAACACTGTTCCAGTATTGGATATGCTGCCATTTGGTGAAATGGTTCTGTTAAAACAGCCTAGAAAGACGAGTAGTATTTGCTTTGTTGTTTTGAATGTGTATCTGGCCAAGGGGGGCAACCAAATAAGTTGTTGCAATGCAGGTAAGATAATGATGTTTACAAGATCCAAGTTTCTGGACAAAAAACCCAAAATGGGGACCTCACATTAGTATTTTCCATATTGTTATGACAGCTATCAGATTATCACTGTTGTCTTGGTTGTTTAGAATGTAAACATATGATTAAACAACAGGAAGTCAAATTAAGGAGTGCAGAAACAGAAGTGGGATAGACAGATGCTGGATGGATCTTGTGCATCTCTGAAAAGCAATCTTACAGTTCGATAGGCCGATGGTTTCTGCATCATTACTTCCCTAAATAAGTTTTCAATTAAATGAATTAGGCAGATACACATTGTGAACATAAGGAACAAATCTTTTTCATTGAATTCATGCTTATTTATGTTTCCATAGTACATGTTCCAAATGGCCAGTGCCCTGCTGTATTGCCACAGTAAAAAAGTCATCCACAGAGACATTAAACCTGAAAACCTCCTCTTGGGACTCACAGGTGACCTCAAAATCGCTGATTTTGGTTGGTCTGTCCATGCACCCTCTTCCAGGTAAGTAAAAATCTTAACTGGTCAGTCTAAACACCCTCTTCAAGGTAAGTAACAATCTTAACTGGTCAATCTAAACACCCTCTTCATGGTAAGTAACAATCTTAACTGGTCCGTCTAAACACCTTCTTCAAGGTAAGTAACAATCTTAACTGGTCAGTCTAAACCCTCTCTTCATGGTAAGTAACAATCTTAACTGGTCAGTCTAAACACCTTCTTCAAGGTTAGTAACAATCTTAACTGGTCAATCTAAACACCCTCTTCAAGGTAAGTAACAGTCTTAACTGGTCAATCTAAACACCCTCTTCCAGGTAAGTAACAGTTGTTACTGGTCAGTATTAACACCCTCTTCAAGGTAAGTAACAATCTTAACTGGTCAATCTAATCACCCTCTTGCGGTAAGTAATACACTATCTGTTAATAACATCAAGTCTCCTGGCTCGAGAATTATCTGGACCAAATTAGGTGAAAAGTCCTGTATCTGTACTTTTCATATTTTACTCTATTCTATTCCCAAGAGGCACATTCAAATGTTTTAAACAGTGTTAATTAATTCTCCTTCTTTAAAGGATGTTCCAGACACATGGTTTTGACTGGTACTTAAAGAGAAGGAAATCTGGATTCCGCCTCATTTTTCCCATTCAGCCCTGCCCCTTTGCTACTACATCCACCATTATACAATTTTGAGACCTCTTGGCTAAACATTACTTCAGGCAAAATTTGGTTAAAATTTGTCGTTCTTAACTTGAATAGCATTTTAAGGCCCTGCCCCTTTGCTACTACATCCACCATTATACAATTTTGAGACCTCTTGGCTAAACATTGCTTCAGGCAAAATTTGGTTAAAATTTGTCGTTCTTAACTTGATTATTTTAAGGGAAAAGTTGGTGACATATCTTTCTTACTGAAACTTTATATAAGCTGTACATGTATCATGATAAGACTGTCGCGGTAGTGTTCACTGCTTATTCAAGATTTAGTATGCTGAGAGTCCTTGATATAATTCAAACCACTTTTCATATGAGATTGCTTTACACGGATGAACATTTGAAAGTCTAGTTTTCAGAATTGTTGCTAAATGAATTTTTCTTTTCAATGTAAATAGATTTAGATCTCGGCATGGATACATGTATCTAGATTCCTGGCCAGATCTCGTGTACGTCATAGCATGTTTTACATACAATGTCCGATTTACAGGAGAACCACATTGTGTGGTACCTTAGATTACCTACCTCCAGAAATGATTGAGGGCAAACTTCACGACGAGAAGGTGGATCTGTGGAGTCTTGGCGTGCTATGTTACGAGTTCCTGGTGGGAAAGCCTCCGTTTGAGGCAGATAACAATACAGACACGTACAGACGGATAACAAAAGTGGATCTCCAGTTCCCTTCATATGTGTCCAGTCCTGCTAGAAATCTTATCAGTATGGTGAGATCTTTGTCTAACTTTATTTGATTAGAATATGCAGTGTTAATTTTCCTTTCTTATTGTCAGAACAAGTGTTTCTGTAAAATATCTACACTTTTCTTGCAGTGCATTGATAAATTGAGAATGGAAGTCAGTGGAGATTCATAAAGGCCAATATTATAAATGAAATTGCTGGCTGTTTTCAATCCCAATTTTCTGTTGATATTAGCTTATTGGTACAGATTGATAGTAAAAACTTAAAGTCAATCATTCTATGAATAATACTAAACTTTCCATGAAGGTTGCTTATGAAAATGTTGATGGCTTTTGTTCATAACGAGTACATGTAGAAGACAAAATGTTTTAAAAATCCTTGGTCCGCCCCGTGAGTAGTCTGGATGCAGGTTACTGCAGAGGAATGATGATATGTTTAGTTTATATATTATAACACTCCTTGTCAACCGGCGAAGTGAATACAATTTATGTGAACTGGTGATGAAACCTTGTTATTTTGGTACTTTTAGTTGCTGAAACATGACCCTAGTCAGCGAATAACTTTAGAAAAAGTATTGGAACATCCCTGGATCAAAGAAAATCACCGTCCAGTGCCACCATAATACCAGTCCCTGTAGAACCATTTTGTGATCAGATGAAGGAAGCCAAAGACAATACTTCCAGATAGGAGGATAAATGATATGGTCCAGTTCTATTCATGTCCAAATACCAAGCAGATGTTCAGGATGCAAGGAAGATTTAGAGCTAACAATAGCAAAGACTCTGCATACATGTGGTATATAGCTAAGGTGTAAGATGTTGTGTTGGGTATAGATATCATAAATAAACATACTTTCTCATACACCAAACATTGACCAAAAAGATTACAGACAGTGGTACATCTAAGACTGGACTGTGTCTAGTGGACAATACATTATTCTTCTCCAATTAGCTGTGGCTCTTGTGGATAATGAATATTGTGACTGTACCCTAGAAACGTTGGTAATTTATTGTGTTCTACGGGATGTGAGAATTTATTGTGTTCTACAGGATGTGAGAATTTATTGTGTTCTACAGGATGTGAGAATTTATTATGTTCTACGGGATGTGAGGATTTATTGTGTTCTAGAGGATGTGAGAATTTATTGTGTTCTAAGGGATGTGAATACAAACATGAACCTAGATTCAGTGTCATCTGTCACAAATTCTAGTTAATCGTTTGCCAACACAGATGGGAGGATCTCAAAACAAGGATCAACTGCTACCATTCTGCAATTAATTTTTACATGTGGAAATTAAGAATGCGCATGAATTTTGTGTGTCTAATGTTAGATGTCTGTATGTGTCGCTGTAAAAGAAATCACAATTGTGACTATTATTTCTGTCCTTTCCTTCTTCCTTTCTATACCTATACTTCTCACTACAAAACAAGTCAAGCACATTAGTACAGACGACTTAGTATTTATATGTATTGACAAATATTACTCAATGAGAATTATCTGTTCTCTCTATAATTCCCCGAACACCTGTATGTCTTAAGTTTGTTTCTTACTGACAAATTTATATCCTTTTATAATTTGTTACCTCAAATGACATCAGACACAATATTGATATTACCAGGGTAGATTTCTTGATTGTTAATTCAAGTTAAGAAAAACAAATGTCAAAAATCCAGATGACATAAATCGTGGTAGAAACAATCCTGAATTTGTTTGCATCTCGTATTTATAAAACTCATTCTTAATTCTTCATTTAGCTTAACAAAGTCTTTTACATGAACTTGTTACATATCATCTCAAGACCTGGAAATTGGTCCAGAATTCCATATATTGTATATTGATAATTTACATTAATAACTTTGATCTTCTATCTAACCTAACAATGTGTTATTATGCATTACACAAAGTACTTTAGTTGCAGTCTGTCAGACTGTTGCAGATGTTCATTTTTCACAAGATTATTAAAATAAATCATGTCTTTTCATCGAGTACAGGCAAATTTCATATCCTGCAATGCTGCTGATAGTATTTCATATCCCATTACTTCTGAATGATATGTAAGTCGTATGTAAAAGTGAGAAATTGTGGAGGCTCAATTTGATAAATGTACAATAAACTATTTTATCTGATCACGAGGTATGGTTTATCTGCCACGTAGGCGACATATACCTTGGACAATACATGCATGTTTGCTAAATGCATATTACCTTTGTAGCAGAACTTGACTGGGTTGATCGTCAGCGACCAGGTAGCTCAATTGGTAGAGCATGCATCCGTCTAAAGCTCAGAAAGGTCCTAGGTTCGAATCCCGATCTGGCCATTACATTTCTCTTTCTCCTATTACACCTTCATTTTTGATGACTCGTATTTGAAATCTTACACTTGCACAATCTATCATTGTATATGTAATATACAGACATGTCATTGCTCTGCAGATTTATACATGTTCAAAACATTATTTTGGGCGAAAGTCCATGTTTTAAAATAAGCCGATCAAAAACAAAGTCACCAGTGTGCTATAAATAAAAAAATTGCTCGGCAAACTTATTTTCCGATTGTCATGAAACTACCAATCCATGTTTGAAACATTACTTAATGTAAGATAATATTTTATAACCTAAAGTCAAAAACATGGTCACCACTACTATAAATAGAATTTTCACTAATATTGTCCCATTGGTTAGGCATGAACATTTGATGAAAAATGTCTATTTTTATGTTAAAATATTGATAGGTTAATAAACAATACTTTATTTGTTTGAAAAATACGAATAAAACTAAAAAATAATACTTCATTTTCGGTGAAAAATAGAATAATTCAAGTAAGAAACATAAAAAAGGATGACTCCAATAACGCAAAGACTCCGACTCCAAAGCACCAAATAACACCATACATGCATATCAGCTCTTTCAGCTTATTCAGCATGAAAATTTGATGGAAAAGGTAGATTTTTTCTTTAAAATATTGTTAAATTCATAATCTAATTCATTTCATAAAGAGTGAATACTGAATTAGTAAGAAAAAATAACACTTTTTAAGTTTTTTTTCTGTAGTTTTGTATTTTATCACATAATCAGCCTGTTATATATCCAGTGAATTCGCCCCTGTAATATTTTTATATATGTCACTAGTGTATACCCTGCAGGGTTATATATAAGTTTTCTGAGTTATGTGATAAAAAGTATCATAAAGGTAGGGTCAACACCTATGAAGATTTAACATTAGCGTTGTCCCCCGCTTGGAATTTATAAACAAGATAACTACAAAAAGGTATAGGTATAAGAAGCTTAAATAAGGAACTGTTAGTTTCAGAATTCATTTTAGGATAAATGGGACCTCATTGACTTACACCTGTGTGGGTGTTAAAGGTGTGGTAACACAATTCCTCATAGAGCATTTAAATAAAATAATTACCATAAAATTATATCGTCATTGTGTGCAACATATTCCAACTTTCATTTTGATACCAAATATTACACTATTTCAAGAATTGTTATTTTTATTGAAGATTTAAGCAGAAAAGTATGTGAAATTTCATTATAATGAGAAAATTTCCATTTTCGACACATTAATTTACATAGTTCTAAAACCAGGCTATATTTCATACTTGCTTCAAAGTTGGCTACTAATAATATCTTTCAACATAAGGAATTTCAAGAAAATTGACAACCGGTAAATTTTTCATATAACACTCTTGATTCAAAAAAAGAAATACATAATTTTCATGACCAAAAGTCCTTCGGTCTTGATATTTGGCAAGTAGGTTGTTTATGTGAATTGGTTTAAATTTTGTAAACGTTGATGACCTTGATCTTCGCACAAGGTCACAAAAATCTAATTTGCTGAAATTATTGTTTGTATGGGGAGTCGGACAAGGATACCTTTCCTTGCTTTATTTGTTTAGAGTTAACGATTTAACATAATGTAATATTCCTCCATGTTTTATTTAATGAATGGGCAATAGGCCAAATAAAATAATAACTAGTAAATATTTGAGAATATATGTCACTGACATACCCCATGCCAAAACATATTTCCATACCAAATCTTGTTAGCTCCGATGAACCAGTTTTGCTTAAGTCGTCCTAGTAGTTAAGGAAGAGTAGTCAAGACAAAGATTTTTAACAAAGGGCTATAACTCCTTAAAAAGGGTCGAAATGAAAAAAGTACTACTCTGATGCACGACATCAGGGGGTAATTACCATATCTGTAAACATTCATTGAAATCGGCCCAGTAGTTTATGAGGCAGACAAAGGTTCTTTTTCTACAAAGGGCCATAATTCCTTTTTAAAGGTTCTGAATGAAACATTCTTTTTGGATGCACTATGTCAGGGGGCAGTTACCATATCTGTAAACTTTCGTTGAAATTGGCTGCATAGTTTTTGAGGAGTTGTCAGGACAAGTATTTTTCAACAAAGGGCCATTACTCCGTTAAAAGGGTTCATATTGAAAGAAAAAAAATACCTGGATGCATACCAGCAGGTGGAAGTTATTATATCTGAATATTTTCGTTGAAATTGACCCCTTAGTTTTGGAGGACACGTCTGGACCAAAAAAAAATCATCAAAGGGAAATAACTCTTAAAAAAAAGATCTGGTGGTGTTCACTCTTAAAATCTCGACTGTATGTTCTTTCCTGAGATTATAAGAAACATCTTAAGCATGATAAGATCTAGAATATATGCAGGTGATAGAATATGTACAATCTTAAAAACCTCTTTGGCCATCAACTTAATACGCCTTGCATATACATAGTCTAACTTACAGTTCATCAAAATATTATAAAAAGGGGTAGTGTTTAATCTTCCACAAAACGTAAGGATCGTATCAATTTAACAATTCTTTTGAGAACAGCTATAGTTAGTTGTTTAGCAGGTTTCTACATATGTTAGAGATGTGGGTATCAAACCTGAGGTTTTGGTCGATATTGACATCCAGAAGATTTACAGAATCTACACACTGTACAACAGAGTCCGAGATGTTAAGATTTGATGCTGCTATTAGCCTTGGTGCCAACACAAATAGCCTGAAATTTAGCAGGGTTGGCTTTCATACCATTGTGTTCGAACCAGGATATTAGCTCATTGGATTCTCTTCCTAAAACATTTTTCAAAACATGCTGATCTCCATATGTGTTAGATAAATTATTATCATCAGCATAGTTGTATAAAAATACCATCCTTGGTTGTTAGAAAAAAATGTCATTTATAAAAACATTGAATTAAAGGGGTCCTATAATTGACCCTTGGGGTACCCGCTTCGCAAGCTGCCTCCTGGCAGGCACTGGCCGAGGGCCCCAGTCGAATCCACTGCGTTCTAATTGATAGATAGCTGCTGATGAGGCCCACAGCCCCTCTGTCAAGCTCATAGGCCCGCAGTTTCTCCACCAAGAGATATCCACAAGTATAGCACCGACCAACTTATTCTCATCCAATGCTATTCGCCAGTCATTCAGGAGACGCAACAGAGTAGACTGGCACCCAAAGCCAGCCCTGAAGGCAGCCAGGAAGGTGTTGAATATATTTTGAAAGTAACTATTTAACTGATAATGTAAAATACGTTCAAGGGCCTTAGACATGGCTGGTAGTATGACGACAGAACGATATATAAAAAAGTCTATAAAACGTCAGAATAATTCGGACTAGTCTAAGGGGTCATTTTTTTGTAGATAGGAATCACTTGTGCTGGCTTCAAAGAGTTTGGAAAATATTCCTTTTTATACAATAATTCATTAGAGTTGATAGGGGGTTACATGGAGAAGAAGTACTAGAGTTTAGAATTCTAGCAGGAATGCCATCCACTCAAGCAGATTTTTTACAGTTTAATTTGCTTAAAGTTTTTGAGACAGTGTTTGGACTAATTGGGGCAATTTTGAAACTGAGATCTATGTGTAGATTGGAAGAAATTGATTTGACACTGTCATGAGTAGATAGGTCCGATATAGACTCAAGATTTTGGCCTATATCAGTGGCCATGTTCGTAAAATAATCATTAAAAACCTAACTGACTGCAGTCTGATCTGAAATGATACTGTCGAATAGCCTTGAATGAGAATAAATTGGTCGGTGCTATACTTATGGACATTTCTTGGTGGAGAAGCTGCGGGCCTATGGGCTTGACAGAGGCAGTATCATTTCCGATCAGACTGCAGTCAGTTAGGTTCCTGCAGAATGGTAGTATGGCCGCTGTTAGGGCACTTTTTAGATAGGAAAGGTGTAATTGTCGGCCAGAAATCTTTAGAGTTTGGGCCGCCGTGGCAGCGTTCGAGAAAATAAACTCTCATAGATTCTCGTTTGATCTTAATAACGTGATTTCTCTGGGTTTTGTACAATAGCCAGTCCTGAGGTGTACTTCATTTCTTAAACTTGTTAAAAACTGTTTTTTTTTCATAAACAGCCCCCCCAAGATCCCCCCCCCCCCCCCCCCCCCCCCCCCCTCCCCTCTCCCCTCAAGTCACATTTTGTCATCATACATGTATTTATTCTAAATCAAAATCATCTTCAAACATCATCTCAAACATGAGTTTAAACCTATTGGTATAGTACTTTATGCGGTTTGAAATTCTCCCTGCGGCACCCTTTCAGTGCGTCAAATTGGGCCTGTTCGAGAGTTCCGGCGTCGGTCGTGAAGAGGGAAAGTCAGGAGAAGTTGTAATTTTAGCAGTGTGGAGGTAATGAAGCCGTCATCACGGGATTTGTAATCCCCGGTGATGAACATGGCTGCCCGATGCTGGATTTTCTGTAATGGGAGCTAATGTCACCCTGCTGGTAGGGGTCCCACACAATTGCTACATATTCCATTATGTGCCGTACTAGGGATGTGTACGCTGTCCACTTAATCTGCTATGGGCAACTTCTTAGATTCCTCCTCAGAAAGCCCATAGTGGAGTTGGCCTTTTTGGTAATTTTTCCAATATTTCCTGCACCATAGCTGTCATGCACCCTGGGGTGCGGTCCCTGTAGTTTTCCGTTAAAAAACGGGCCGCCCTCCTTTGGACCCCCTCGAGAGCCCTGTTGTAGACCTGTTGGTATGGGTCCCACACTGTACTGGCATACTCCAAAGTTGGCCGGACCATTGTCTGGTAAGCCATGAATTTGATTTGTGGCTTGCATCTATAGAGATTCCTCT